GCTGCTTGCCTAGGGCTCATAGCCTCAGTTATGATTTGAGAAAGTGATCTCTCGCCTTCACCAGGTTCAAATTTTTCTACAAAGTACTCTTTTACTGAAACACCTTTGTCCCATTTTCCTGGGCTGCTAATACCACTAGCATTTTGCTCTACATTTTGTCCCAACTTACTCGCATTACTTTCAGCAAAATGACCAGTTTTTGGCGCTGCATGCTGGTTCCCAGATTCTTGCTCGTTGCTATTTGTTAGAGTGAGGCCTGAAAATTTTGAAGCAATAGCGTGGGTTGCATCAGATACTGCAGCATAAGCTGGTGCTAACTTCTCTGTTACAGTTTCTGTTATGGTTTTACTGGGGCTATCTGGTAATTTCTCCATATTGTCTTGTTCAATAAACTCATGTTTGATGCTGGTCGGAACAGCATGCTTCTCGGATACCACTGGATCTGCTCGTGGGTGTTGTCGTGCTGCTTCTTTATAAGTCTCAGGTGCCAGTTCCGATTCATACACTAAAGACAGCAGCAGGAGTACACATGAAGCAATATAATATATCATCTCAAGCAAATATATACTCATTGAAGAAGCTAAATTCAATAAGAAAAAGGAAAAAGATCTAATAAGTTTATTCAATTAGTTGACTATAGTAATTGTCATGACAAGCTATTAAAATTTATCTGCTAAATAATACCTTTAAATAACAACGATAATAAGCACTAGGTATATATGGGATTTCCAACTTGGGATCAGGGGCGGAGCTAGGTAGACGCAAGGGGTTCGGCGAAAATTACAATGTATATGATCAAATCTTTTTATCATGTATATATGTTAGATGATAAATTTTCTTAGTTTTTTTATGTGTTAAACTTTTTTTTGAATCTCCTTGGTGACAATCCTGCTTCCGTCACTGCTTGAGATATGAGGATCATTCAATTCTGTCTAAATCCACGATTAACTGTGTAAAATTTCTTTGTGATCATGTTAAGGTTCGTACTCTATTAATTCATGTTGTTACGAGGCTACATTTACTAGCACTGCCTTAATTGGAAAATGTTGGCTTTAATTTCTTCACCATGGTTAGAACAGAATGTATATAAATCTACACTTGTACCGATTGTTCTTAATTGAATATGAAAGGTACGTAGAAATAATGATCGAGTAATGTAAAGAACATATTACTTGGAGCACCAAGATATTCAGGATCTTCATCTTCTTCATCTTCATCATCCAAAGTAGCGCCCCATGAAGGTGTACTGTTATCGTCGTGGTCGTGGACATCATTCTCATGCAGCTTCTTCTTGCCACTTAAACTGTATTTGAGTTTCTTTGCTTTTTCCTTAACTTTGGTGATAACTGATTTCTTGCCATGAGTTGGTGTATATTCTTCTTGATCATAAGCTGTTGGGGAGGTATTTGTTGACCAACTCCTTTCATTTCCTAATCAAATGCAGTACTAAAAAGCCAGTAAATATAGAAATGCAGATAGTATTAAAATGAAATTAATCTCGACTTGCTAATTAAGTTTGTCAGAGAACTAAATAACCTTGTAAAAGTTGTTCAAAAGTTGGTGAATTGGACTTGGGAGTTTTGGATGTCTGTGAAATTTTTTGTAACGGATCAAGTTGAGCCATTTGTACGAGAATTCCTGTCTTGAAATCTTCCTATAGTTTGTCTGTTTGTATGTTTATTCGTTCTGCCTGGGTTTTTTTCAGCTTTTCTTGCAAATGAGAAAATTTAAGAACTAAACTCAACGGTAGTTAAAGTTAAAGCATGGTTTGCGGGTTCCTCCGGCGGGAAATTAAAAAGCCAATTAGTGTAGTTTGATCGAATGGTTTGTTGCTAGATTTACAAATGGCAATAGATTAAGAGGCACATACATACATGTAAGAGCTGAAATTATTAAATTTATGATTCTTGATACACCACTGAAATAGGACTTGACCTCGTCTTCAGAGCAACTAATTTCCTCTATGTTAGCCTCATGTCATGGTACAAACATCAATTTCAGAGGCAAAGTTCATCTCATGGGCAAAAACAGTTTGATAATTTAACTAACCATTCTTTTTTTTTCTTTTAAAATACAAAAAGTGAGGTTTGATAATTTAACTAACCATTCTTTTTTTTCTTTTAAAATACAAAAAGTGAGGTTGACCTTGGTAACATTAAATGCTTCATAGATTCAGTGGTCTTGCTTAAACGAGCAACTTTTCTATTTAAAAAACTGTTGAGTACATATTCCTTGAGTGTTATACTACTATCGAATATAGCAATATACAAGTACTATCAATTGTTATTACCAGAAAGTGAGAAACTGTATAAATTTTCTTATTGAAATAGAAAAGTAACTCTTAAATTAAGTAAATGGCTTATCGTGCAAAAATAGTTTCTTTTAGGAGGATAACAAAGCGACTAACCTTTAAATTGTTAGTCGAGTTTCCATTTTCGTGTACTATACATTAATGATGTAATTTTTACCTCCCATAGCAAAGGCTAACACCTTATTTATTTTAAATAAATATCATTTAAAAAAATTATATTATATAGATACCTTTTAATGTTTATAGCAAAATATCTAATTTTGGTTACCATGACCCTAAGCTACTAAATACGCTATTCAGTTACACTATTTTCTTTCTCTTTCTACTTTGATACATGCCATTTTTTTCCCCCATTCCCTAAAAACACAACTAAGGGCTCTGCTTGCCGCCACTCTCATGGCTTTCGCCGCCGCCGCCTGGACTCGCCGGTTCTGCCATCCTTCACTCTATCGGAACCCTAACTAACTTTTATGTATCCTGAAAAGGATGATCCGAGAGAAATTATTAATTGGTTTCGTTCAATAGTATGAGAGAAAGAACAATTCTATGTTGATGATCCATGTCCAATTGTCCATTCATATCCTAGATATTATTTGACAGTATATTGTCTTTGTTGTGATAGTGCTACTCGTGGAATTGTCAAATCTGCAACGCAACAAAAGCAATCACAACCCTTTTAAACACAAGGAAGTCACTAGCAGCCTTTGATTACCTTATTGGTAGTTGATGGCAAGAAGAGAGACTTGGGACGACACAACTACTCTTCAAAAAATTCAACAGAAGAAAGACCAGTTTGTATATGAGCATCAACATATTCTCTGGAAGGACATTTTTCACTAGAAGAAGGCAAAGAAACCTCGATATTATCATCCAAGGGAGACCAGTAACAAGAGATAGCAATTGTGGATTCGCCGAAAATTAGGGTTTGTTGGCGGATTCGCTAGAAATTAGGGTTTGTTCTTGAACAAAGACGACGGAGTTTGGGGCTGAGCAACTTGATTTTCTGTTAATATATTCAATGTATTTTCATATATTTCATTGTATTCATTATTTTTTTTATTGTAGTTCAATGTATCTCGTTGTATTCCATGTATTTTATTGTATTCACTGTCTTTTTTTCATTGTATTTCAACGTATCCCGTTGTATTCTATGTATTTCATTGTATTGTCTCACTATATGCCATGAATGTATTCATATGTTTTTTTAATTAATATAATTTATGTATTCAGATGTATTATATACTTTTTCTGAAAATTGCTATGTTTTTGAGATATTTTTCGATTGAGAATCTTTTTTACACAAGGAAATACAAATTTTGTGTGTTATAATTGAGTTTGTTGAGGTATATTAGGAGCCTATTATGTTAATTGATTCACTTTCCATTTAAAAAATAGTGTAATTCCCTGTTTCACGCCGTGAATGCAGTCGAATACAATAATCTGTCTAGCTATAATCTCATGCTTCACGCCATGAATACAGTCGAATACACTTGAATACAATAACTGATTAGCTGGACTTCCCTGATTCACGCCTATTTTTGCTACTGTATTCATGGATACAGTAGCTTAAATACACATAATACATCTTATAACAACAAAAAACGTATCTACAATCTGTACTTCTTGAACATGATGTCAGAGACCTTGTGATGAACTCGATATTTCACTTTTGATTCGTGGGCCAGGATCCATATTAATGTAAAAATTGCACGGGCGCCCTATTTGGTCGCCCCAATTTAACCTATACCCATTTTTTTTAAAACTTTTAACTTGTACCCACTTTTTAAACAACTTCAGCTCCCTTTCTTCTCCGCTTCAGTACCTCACCAGAAGAAAGCAAGGATCTAGATTGAGATTGATATGCATAAAAACAACATCACAAGCTGTGCAAAAGCTACCCTTTCACGTTCTTACTTTATTTTTTAGCTTTTCTTTTTTCCCTTCGAGAATTGGAATGACTGCTTTAGCTCTCTCCTCTGCTTTCTACCCACTAATCCAATCCCCCATATGATACATGTATATATCCCTCTCTGACCTTTATTTTTTTCTTGTGCCTTTCACGTTTTTAATTAATTTAAAAATATTTATACCTGCCTAGCTAATACAATACGAGCAACTGTATGTAATATTAATAGGTGGTAAAAAAACTTCAGTTGTAGTATGTAATATTAATAGGTCGTAAAAAACCTCAGCTCTAGTATGTAATATTAACATGTGGTAAAAAAACTTCAGCTCTAGAGCTGAAGTTTCTCATTTACAACACAAAAACTTCAGCTCTAGAGCTGAAGTTTCTCATTTACAACACAAAAACTTCAGCTCTAGTATGTAATATTAATAGGTGGTTTTGTGTTGTAACTGGAAACTTCAGCTCTAGTATGTAATATTAATAGGTGGTAAAAAAAATTTCAACTCTAGAGCTGAAGTTTCCCATTTACAACACAAAAACTTCAGCTCTAGAGCTGAACTTCAAACCCGACTACTAGAATGTTGAAGTTTTGCGTGATTGTTTTTGATACTTCAGCCCCGTATGCTGAAGTTATGCGAAAAAGCGGGTACGCTTGCAATTTTTTTTGCAAAGCGAGCACAAATTATAATGTGGCACAAAAAGCGGGTATAGATGCAAATGCCCGTATTAATTGGACGCTAAAGCCCATTAGTGCAATCTGGGTCCAATCTGAAATATCATTACCACTTCATTTCAATACCCTTTCTCAGAGTGTTGAACTTTACCGCCTCGATTTCTTCACTCTCCATTATCTTCTACAATGGCGTCCATCGCCGCTCCTGGTCTCGCACTTTCCGTCCACCGTTCACACCGCCGGCTCACTCCTGCCACCGCAACCACCACCACTGCTGCCTCTGTCCCTTCACTTACAATCAAATCCAAGCATCCTACATTCCCTTCCTCCCAAAACCCTAAACCCTCATCCTCACGCCCCCGCGACAATTTTGACATTTTGGGCTCGAAAAAGCTCCAAAATATCGTAAAAACCACCGCAGCCATTGGCTGTGGTCTCTACGCGCTCTCCAACGGCGTGTCCAACGCTAAACTCAGCGGAAACGGTGGCGGCGGCTCCTCCGGTGGTTCTGGCGGTGGTGGTGGAGGGGGAGGTGGCGGAGATAGCTTCTGGTCGAAGATTTTCTCTCCAGCGGCTATTGCTGGAGAAGAAGAATCACAGGAATGGGATTCTCACGGCTTGCCGGCGAATATTGTGGTACAACTGAACAAACTAAGCGGGTTCAAGAAGTACAAGGTCTCCGACATCATGTTCCTCGATCGCCGCCGCGGGTCAACGGTAGGGACGGAGNCAACGGTAGGGACGGAAGATTCCTTCTTCGAAATGGTGTCTCTACGGCCAAATGGTGTCTACACGAAGGCGCAGCTCACTAAAGAGCTGGAAACCCTAGCTACCAGTGGAATGTTCGAGAAAGTTGATCTAGATGCAAAAACAAACCCTAATGGAACAGTCGGAGTTACGATATCCTTTTTAGAAAGCACGTGGCAGTCAGCTGATAGATTTAGGTGTATCAATGTGGGCCTAATGCCACAGTCTAAGCCCATTGAAATGGATCCAGACATGACTGAGAAGGAGAAATTGGAGTATTACAGGAGCCAGGAGAAGGATTATAGGAGGAGGATTGAAAGGTCAAGGCCATGTTTGTTGCCGCCACCCGTGCAAAGGGAGATTTTGCAGATGTTGAGGGAGCAAGGGGCAGTTAGTGCTAGGTTGTTGCAGAAGATTAGGGATAGAGTGCAGCAGTGGTATCATGAGAATGGTTACGCGTGCGCCCAAGTTGTGAATTTTGGGAATTTGAATACTAAGGAGGTGGTTTGTGAGGTGGTGGAAGGGGATATTACTCAAATGGTCGTTCAGTTTCAGGATAAGCTGGGAAATGTATGTGAGGGAAACACTCAATATCCGGTTGTCCGGAGAGAATTGCCTAGGCAGGTAAAAGATACAAAGTCAATCCATTAATTAGTCCTATATCCCAAATTAGTTACTGTCATCAATATGAATCCCGTTATGTTCCATTTCATTCAAATAGTTAAGGCAAAAAAGGGGTTTTGTAAAATAGAACCTCATTATATCTCACGTTTATCCTTGCATGGACTTACAAGATGAATAAAAGAACTGTTCTTTCTGAAATACAAGAGATTTTGTTCAATTTAATTGTCTTACAGAAAAGGAATAAAAGAAATCCTTTCTGAAAATGCTGTGGACTTTGGTTTCTGTGTACAATCTGATTGGTGTCATTGTACATAGAGAGGAAATGATTGTTTTTAAGTTTTCAGACCTGAATGACAGTCTACCTACGCCAGTTATGCTTTCAAGTTATTGGTACTCTTTCATTAATGCCAGTTGTGTTTGGTTAGCTTCACTACTTAAGCATGAGTTTGATGGGTCATACTTGTCGTTTAAAGTTTTATGTTGCTATTGGGCTGAAGGAGCTACTGCAGTAATTTTCTGCATTCTCGTTTTAATTAAACTTCTAGTACATGTTGAATTTCATAATTCTGCTGATTTGGAGCATGCCTACTGGTCCTACATCTTTTGGTGGTTCTTTTTCAATACTGTGGAATCGTAGAGAAATCTGATTAAATATCTCTGTACATCAATGTAACATTGTACGTGTATATTTCAATGCTAGTATATTATGTTTTGTCATGCATTTGAATACAATTTGGGACTAACATGGCTCTCAAATGTGTGTGATACTTCAGCTTCGTCAAGGACAAGTTTTCAACATTGAAGCTGGAAAACAGGCTTTGAGAAATATAAATTCTCTAGCTCTCTTCTCTAATATTGAAGTCAACCCTCGCCCAGATGAAAAGAATGAGGGAGGGATAATTGTTGAAATTAAGCTCAAGGAGTTGGAACAGAAGTCAGCTGAAGTCAGTACTGAATGGAGCATTGTCCCTGGACGTGGAGGTCGCCCCACATTGGTACACCATTAAGCATCTCGACTGCATGGTTTTGATATGGATTATAACTGTTAGTTCACTGCTAAATGCCTTCCTTTTCTGTATTATGGCATTCAGGCTTCAATTCAACCTGGTGGAACTGTTTCATTTGAGCATCGGAATCTTAAGGGGCTCAATCGGTCAATTCTTGGTTCTGTGACTACCAGTAACTTCCTCAATCCTCAGGTGATTGTTCTTTTTTATTTCATTGCTGATGCTTTTGGTTTGTTTTTTTAATCCTTTTTCCAGTGGCTTAAACCTTAGCAACAATCCCTGTCTAATTTGTTTTACAGGATGATCTTGCTTTTAAGTTAGAGTATGTTCATCCGTATTTGGATGGTGTTTACAATTCGCGAAACCGTACGCTTAAAGCTAGCTGCTTCAACAGCAGGAAGTTGAGTCCTGTCTTTACTGGGGGCCCTGGAGTAGATGAAGTCCCTCCTATATGGGTTGATCGCGCTGGACTTAAAGCCAACATTACTGAGGTAGGGCCAATACTGATACAAGTGTGATGCATCTGCTAGCAGGTCTCTATCATTTAGTGTTTGTCGGCTTTGCGGGAACCTTTGTAGAATTTGATGATCAATAGTAAAATTCAAATTAAAAAAAGAATATCTCTCTTAGGTACGTATATGACTTATTAAATCTAAGAAAGTTTGTAGCTATGGCATCACAGAGAGCTCTGTTTGGGACTTGTAAGAAGTTCATGTAGGTATTATATAATTACGCAATTTGATGCTTAACTGTATATTTGCTGCAGAATTTCACTCGTCAGAGTAAATTCACCTATGGACTTGTGATGGAAGAGATAACAACACGCGATGAAAGCAGCCATATTTCTTCTCGTGGGCAGAGGGTACTGCCAAGTGGTGGAATTAGTGCAGATGGGCCTCCCACAACGCTTAGTGAAACTGGCATTGACCGCATGGCATTTTTACAAGCTAACATCACACGAGATAACACCAAATTTGTAAATGGGACAATTGTTGGTGAGAGGAATGTCTTCCAGGTGAGATTAGCTTTTTGTATTCTTTTTGGATTTTACTGAATTCATTTTCTTTTGCAAATCAAAATGGAAGTAGCTTTTGGTCTTTATTAATAGATATTACCACATTATCTACTGCCAGTCCTATTTTAAAATACTGCCAGTCATATATGTCATATATTTCTTTCATCTGAGGGCATCTCATTTGTTCCTCATGAAGCAAGTTTTCAACGTTTATCAATTGACTGTTACCCATGCTCTAGATTTTCATATACCTTTTTACCGTTGTAGCTACTCTGATAAATTATCTCATTTGTTGTGAAAAATGTATGAGATATGAATGGTGTCTTCTGGAACTAATTATTGGTTAAATTTCTTTTATGGACTCTTGTCTAATATTTAATATTGCGTTACAGGTTGATCAAGGACTTGGAATTGGCAGTAAGTTCCCATTCTTTAACCGCCACCAGCTGACAATGACCCGATTTGTCCAGCTGAAGCAAGTAGAAGAAGGCGTTGGTAAGGCTCCGCCACCTGTCCTAGTCCTCCATGGCCACTATGGTGGATGTGTTGGAGATCTTCCCAGTTATGATGCTTTCACACTTGGGGGACCTTATTCAGTGAGGGGCTACAATATGGGAGAGATAGGTGCAGCTAGAAATATACTGGAGGTATGTATGGTTTCTCTATCAAAGCTATGATGTGAACTTATTTCTCTCATTTTTTCTTGAAGTGCTACTTGGCCATAGCTAGACAATTGCTTGTGCAAAACTTATGTTTGATAAATGTCTTTTATCTAATGTATTGATGCTACCTTCAGCTGGCTGCTGAGATGCGGATACCTGTGAGAAACACACATGTCTATGCATTTGCAGAACATGGAAATGATCTTGGGAGTTCAAAAGATGTCAAAGGAAACCCAACAGAGGTTTATAGGCGGATGGGTCATGGCTCCTCGTATGGAGTTGGCGTGAAACTAGGCTTAGTACGAGCAGAATATGCTTTTGACCACAATTCTGGGACTGGAGCAATATTTTTCCGTTTTGGAGAGAGATTCTAGTTTCAGATTCCTTGGCCAGATTCTTTTTTTGCAGCTAGTCAGACCTATGAGTTAAGAACTGCACGGTTCTGAGTTTGAACTTCAGTTATGTCTTAAAATGTTGTTTGCTAAAAGATCGGCTATAATTGTGGTTAGAACCTTTTCGAAAGTGAGTATTCCGTAGCTTTTTTGCTCGTGTAAGCAAAATATGTTAATATAGTAATTTGTGCATTTTCTTTCTTCTCATATTTTTTTTCCTACTGGGGATGGCTTGAAATAACTATATTTTGTCTGATCTTGTCCTCTGAATGCATGAGTTATTTTTTCAGAAACATTTTGACGGGGTAAATGGGATTTGGAGTTGTTCTGTGAAGTAGTTTCATTCTTAAATCTGCAATTCTACATTTCGTGTTCATTTTGCTAGATTATTTTCAGAAGAGGTGTAATATATTTTCAATAAATTAAGAATAATCTGTGAAATACTTTCAATACCTTACCAAAAGCGAAGGGTCACCTAGTTTCAGTGGACCTGCGACTAAGTAGGAAGGATGCCACAAGGTAACCAGCTTATTTGTACGAATCTATTTGAGCAAGATATACCATGCAGTCCTTAACGAAGGCATTTAATCAATCAGATCACTGTTTCCATCCCATATGCTTATTGTTTGTAATCCGAGAACACCGGGGAAAGCAGGACTATAAGCGACTATTATAATCAGTTAATCCAGTGACATTCATTCCGCAAGAAGTCACAACCAAGTGATGCAAGGCAATTGTCTCCTACCTCTAGTAAGACGTAATGGTGATAACTAGCAATTCACAACCGACAACCAGAGGCAAAGCAGAAGAATATCGAGCTTTACAAAATTGGGACATCTGATGGTCGTACTTATCAGATAATCAATCTTAAGCAGAAAAATTATTACCCTTTATTGTGAATGTCTGAATGATATATTGACTTGCTCCAAGTTCTACGTGTTAGGTTCGTATATTTCTTTGCTTTATAAGCACCTGTACAATACACAGATGATAATACCTGCAATCAAGTCCTGTCTTACAGTTTCAGAAGGCTAGAGTATATCAGTATATGCATGTGGCCACTGAAGCGATTAAGAAACCAATGGCTAAAGAAGCACGCCACTTGTATCTTTAAACAATCTGTCTGTAAAGAATGACATCCATTATGTAGTAGCACAAGTACAACTTGTAGTCATACTTAAACATGTGGAGCATATATGAGAAGCAACTCTAAATATTCATGATAGAAAAACCATTAAGAACACAAAACACGTATTGGCTCAGCCACCAAATAACCAAAATATAGAAAAACCTTATGCATCAAAGGGGAATGGCTGTATTCTAACAAGAAGATGAAACACAGGGAGGGGCAGTATATCTTCACACATAGCAGAGAAGAAATTTCTTCTCCACCATTCTTGAGTATGCGTTTGGAGCTATGGATTTCCCCACGTTTTCTGAAACTGCAATACAAATCCGGAATAGAGTACTGCTTCATCCCATAATCTCCTTACCCTCTATATCCAACAAAAGTTGCAAACCTTGATGCTCAATAGAGAAAATTAAGCAGACATAGGGAGAGAGAAACCACACCTCACCAGAAACACAATGTCAACTCGGTGTAGTCTAATAGAGGATTTACTTGCCTCCAATCATCAGAATTTTTTTTGTCTATAGTATTCATCAAGGACCAAATAAAGATCCAGATGGAGCTGTGCAGGGAAAGGATCAGTAATAATGGAAGGTTCCGAGCAGAACAAATGGAGGCACCAGTGCTCTCATGGAACTGTGAACAATGTGATGCACATCATCAATAATTCTCAAAGATTAATCCCATATGGTTTTAGTAGCACAGTAGACGAGCAGAGAAATCTATGCAACAATATGAGGATGAGATGTAGAATTACTTAATTCAACTAGACAACACAAGAGTTTCAGTTACTTGATCCTCCCAAAGATAGTTGTTTCATGTTTGTCCTATTAGGGAAACTGCAGCAAATTATTTAGGCGAATTAAGAAACTATATGCCAGAACCACCTCCAATGATATGTAACAACATGAAGTGGTTCCAATTACTACTGAATTTAAAGCAAGCACAAAACTTAGGAGCTATACACAAAATATGGAGCAATTAATTGATATCTTATAGAAAGAGAGGAAAAGAAAAGAAAAGATTAGGCCCATAAAGTAGGGAGAGAAGGATAAGATTCAAATACCCCATATGTAGGGACTAGTGACAAAGTTTTAGGTATATTACTGAGTGTAGATCATTGTGGAAACGGAAGTTCAATACAACCACTACACAACATTACACCATTTATACATGCCAAAGAAACATTAAGCCATTTATCATTCAAAGGACACGTTGACGTTATATTAACAATTTGCTGCTGCTGGATGAAGCAGATTTGAGGGAAAAGACCACTAAAATGCATCGCAAGGATGGATTGAACCAAATGTCTTCTGCTGTCTAACTCAAATTTGTCCCAAATTTTTCCAGAGTACACCTCACGATATCTACCATGATTTTCCATGCTCAAAAGACACATGGAAGGTCTGCACTACACATGAAGTTACAAAGAGAACCTATTAGTAAAGATCAATAAGACATAAGTACATGTAAGCAGGGACGCCACCTAACATTTTTTTTTTTGATGACCGAGAAATCCGTCTGGGGCCGATCCTTTGGACCAACCGCAGCCTTCGAAACTCGGTGGATAATGGGCCCGTCCCTCTACCCTTCTCCACTTAAATACCAGGCTTTGCTTTTGCATGGTCGCCACCTAACATTTTTTTTTTTGATGACCGAGAAATCCGTCTGGGGCCGATCCTTTGGACCAACCGCAGCCTTCGAAACTCGGTGGATAATGGGCCCGTCCCTCTACCCTTCTCCACTTAAATACCAGGCTTTGCTTTTGCATGGTCGCCACCTAACATTTTAGTATGCATAGAATGCTGAAACTGGTCTGTGAAAGCATCTTTGTTCGCTCAGTAATCCTAGATAAAGGTTTATCATGAATCAATGCAACTCTCCTATTTACCTGTCCCTCCATCTTAATTTGCATAATGAATGGCAATGAAGTTACTTCTAATATTTTACTTATTGCAGCTGTAGAACAGACATATTCACCAATACGATCTGCTCTGGGCAATAATTTGTTTACATGGCAATAATCCCTCATATGAAGTTTTGACTGATGCCATTTTGCCCAGTCTAACTTCCATATAAAATGTCCAATGTCCCAAACACTCTTCTAGTAGTTTACTTCTAGTTCTAGAGCCAAAAATGAAATCTGCTAGATATTACAGCAACAACAAACCCAATAATTTCCCACAAGTGGGGTGTGGGAAATCTGCTAGATATTGTAGCTTTAAAACCCAATAATAAATTTTACAAGCTATATTAAAGTAGTTTTCAGCTTTATTAAGTTTCACAACCAAGTATATTAAATAATCACAAACCCGGACAGCACTCAAGATCTATGAACTATGAGTAGCGGGTCAATCCTATGTTGTTTCCCTCACTTCCAGAAAAATCACGAATTCACCCCCAAGTTGTATATGAACACAAACATATAGACAGCACTATCGACAATACAGGAGGAAAAAGCAAATAACAGACATTACAATGAGTTCTTCTGTTAGATATATTACCTTAGCCAGTACAGCTACTTATCATTAGAAGTAACAGGATGATAGTAACCAAAATTATTCCCAGACCATTCCCGCTGTTGTTGCATCATACTGTACTGATGATGAAATCCAACTGATGGTCCACCCCCATACCCAACAGGCATGCCTCCTTTGGCCATTCCAATCATCGGCATCTGCACCATTTGCGGCGGGTATGGCATCTGAGTCGGCATTCCCACGTGGCCATTAGTATTACGCAGGTGATGACCAGTCTCACCGGACTCACGCAAACTCTGCTTCACCGGCGTGGAATTAACCAAATGATCAGAAGAAGAAGGCCCCTCATTTCCCTGTCTCTTCATATATAATCTATACTTCTGTAAATGACTCGCCACGTTCTCTCGCGTCAGTCCTTCCACATTCATAAGCTGCATAATCGTCTTCGGCACAGCGTTTTTGATACCTAAGTGGGCCACCACTTCAATAAAACGCTTGTGTAGCTGCGGCGTCCAAACAAGCCTTGCCCGTTTATTCAGCGTCTTATTAGCCGACGAATCATCTGCACAATTTTCGTTACACAGAGCAGAATCAATCTCTTCGGTGCCTCCGGATTCAACCCTCCGGAGCTTCCTCGGGTCGGATCCCTCTCTCGTTAGATCCGTTTCGTCTTTTTCAGTAACAGTCGTCTCCTCATTGAACGGCTTGAAATTTAAGTTATTCATTGAAGACATATCCTGCGAGTGCCATCTCTGGAGGGAAGAAAAAGTATTCTGAGAAGCGCGATTTACATCAGTCATGGATTTTGAGGATTCCGGCGAGATTCTGAACGCAGAAGCAAGTTCGGCCGGAATCAACTGCAGAGTCAACGGCGTGAGATCGTCGGCGCCGGGAAGTCCAACCTCCCACAAAACTCTGTCATCATTATTACCACCGCTAGAATCGTACTCAGAAAGCTTCACTTTTTCACCCATGGTAGCTAGCTGGTTACAGAAAAGTTGTTCAACTGGACAAAATTCACACTCTTAGGGTTCTTCCTTAATTCCTGTTAATGCAAGTTAAATTAAATCTTCGGCGGGACAGAGCAGCAGATATCGATTTGATGAAGATATGCCGAAGGATTTCAAAGGCTTATTGGTGAAGGAAAGAAAATGGAGGAGAAGAAGATAGGGGAAGTGGGAAAGGGATAGGTGGAGGAAAATGGAAATAAACAGAAGTTGGCAAAAGGTAGATAAGCGTGAAAAAAGTACAATATCTGATTGCCAGCGTGGATGTCCTGACCAGATATTTTTAGATCTTTTTGTGTCTGGAGGCTGGATTTAGTTTTAATTCATTTTCTTTATTAAAGAAATTGAAAAAAATAGTACTATCATAATGATATTTTAGTTTTATTAGAATACAAATTTTGAATTAATTATGATGCTTGAGAACCTAATCATTATAGTTTTAAATAAAATCGTCTTTGTGTTTCAACCAAACATGTTTAGATTCTTATTTCGATTTTGAAAACGTTTTAAATCAACGACCGTTTTAACTGTTTCATTTTGATATAGTGGGGTTTGATTGGATTAATTAGTGGATATATTTGAGTGTTGGAATAATTTAGTTCTATTATTTTCTAATAGTAGAAAAATAGGATATAAACTTCAAGAAACACGAAACAATCAAATAGAAGAACTTAACTGAAAGTAAGGTAAAGTACAATCAGTGATTAAGTGGAAGTAGCACTAGCATCTAGAAGCGAGCCCAAACCTTTTTGATGCTTTTTTTTTTTTGAGACAAAAAACACGTTTTTAATGTTACAAAAAAAATGTTACGTAATTAAGTAAAATATAGTATACTACTGTATTTTATTTAAATTTTTTTTTTATTAATTCGCAGCACTATATTACGTTTTACTTATAAGCAGTACATCACATTTGTTTTTTTTGTAAAACGCAGTATAATAATACGTTTTACCTGAAACGCACTATTATACAGCGTTTTACTCTGATTTTTGGCCCCACCAATTAACTGACATAACAATAATTCAAATACATAAAACATAGTATTGTACTGCGTTTTACATAGAAAAATTCTCGGACTTACCTTATTTAAAGGCGGTTCAATTTTATGAAAATCCATTCAAACTTTCGTTCATACTTCTCTCTTCTTCTTATCAATCATTTTTTTACAATGTCTGAAGTGCCAAAAATAAGGGTTTCACTATATTGGGGGGTTGAGGTTGTGTTGGAGAATAACTCTGTGAGGTATAGCTCACCTCCACAGTGTCATGTTAAATTGCCGCTTACTATGAAGTACGATAAATTGGTATCGTTGTTACGTACAAAAATGAGTGATAGGAGGTGTTCGGTTAACCTTAAAGTAACCGANCCAGCTAGACCAAGAGTGTACGAGTCCCACGTGCCATTTCATGAGCGGAATATTCCCTACCTTGATAATTTGCCAAGCATGCCGAACGTGGATGCCCTCACAAGGGATGATGATGAATTTCGGTCAGCGATGTGGGATGAGTCTAGACCAGCTGTTCTGACAAAGGGCATGTATTTCCCCGATAAAGCTCGCCTAATTAGGGTTGTAAAAATCTACACTATAAGAGAGTGTCGTGAGATGACGGTAAGTGAGTCAACTACGGAGAAATACAAGGCTGTAAGCCGTAGAGACTTTATGGGTTGTCACTGGATATTGCGTGCCACCAAGAAGAAATCAAGTTTGTGGAAAGTCGGNGACTTTATATAATCAACAAGACGACTGGTAAACTTCAATTTTACTACGCTTTAGCGATGTTTATTTTATGTTTTAATTAGATTTGTATTAACACTCATATTTTTTATAGGGGTACCGTCCGGATATGAATTTTACAAGTTATGACCCCGCCCCTAGTTGGAATATGCGTAGTTCTGGAGTATTGGACCACGGTGGTCCATCCGGGAGTCATCACCAACAAGAAAATATCCATCATGAAACGTCAAGACAGTACGACTTGTAAGTAAAGTGATATAGCTATATCTAAGGTATTTATCTAGTTGGGTAACTTATCATTTTGTTTTTTTGTGCAGTGAAAACGAGCTTCTTGAAGCTCTTGACCTCACACAGTTGCCCATAGACGACGTATTTACTTGTGATTTGGCAGATGCGCAGAGTTAGGAAGATGATAGTGATTATGACAACAATGCGGATGAGTTTGGGGATGACACACTCTTCCATGATGAGGGTGATGATGAGGAGGAAGTGAATGTTGAACCTGAGCTGACGAGGGAGCATGTTCCTCCACCTCCCGCTAGACCAAGAGTGTACGAGTCCCACGTGCCATTTCATGAGCGGAATATTCCCTACCTTGATAATTTGCCAAGCATGCCGAACGTGGATGCCCTCACAAGGGATGATGATGAATTTCGGTCAGCGATGTGGGATGAGTCTAGACCAGCTGTTCTGACAAAGGGCATGTATTTCCCCGATAAAGCTCGCCTAATTAGGGCTGTAAAAATCTACAGTATAAGAGAGTGTCGTGAGATGACGGTAAGTGAGTCAACTAGGGAGAAATACAAGGCTGTATGTCGTAGAGACTTTATGGGTTGTCACTGGATGTTGCGTGCCACCAAGAAGAAATCAGGTTTGTGGAAAGTGGGTAAATTTATTAGCGAGCACAGATGTGAAATGGACACATACAATGAGAATCACTTCAACTTGGATGTGGACTTGATTTCTCTTGTCTTGATTCCATATTTGGAAGTGTCCATTAGGTTCAAGATTAAAGAGTGTATTACAGCCGTCCACCAGGAGTATGGTTGTACTATAACCAAAAGAAAGGCATATCTCGGTCGCAAACGTGCCTTTGAACTTATTTATGGCGACTGGGATAAGTTTTTTTCAAATCTGCCCAGGTACATGGCCGCACTGCAATACTTTAACCCCGGAACTGTTGTTGAATGGAGGCGTGAGCGGAGTCCGGATAGACCCGAATATATTTTTAACTATGTGTTCTGGTCATTTAAACCAGTAATTGACGGTTTTGTGCATTGTCGTCCTGTTATTTCCATAGACGGTACTCATGTCTATGGAAAGTATGATATTAAGCTTTTGATTGGAGTTGCAGTAGATGCCAACATGCAAATATTTCCACTAGCTTTTGCTATATGTGCCAACGAAAGCAAAGAGACGTGGACGTTTTTTTTTGAACCACTTGAAGCAGCATATTGTCAAACAACGTTCAGGTATTTGTCTAATATCTGATCGACATGGTGGTATTTTAAGTTCTGTACATCACTTGCCTGAATGGCAGGAACCATATGCATACCACCATTACTGTGTGCGTCACCTGAAGGCTAATTTCAAGAAGAAATATCCTGAAAAGGCCTTGCATGACTTAATGTGGATGGCTGCAACTGAGCACCGGTAGTGCAAATTCACGAGGCGCATGGAAGCGATCCGGTAGTTAGAACCACGAGCCTATACTTGGTTGATGGGGCATGAGCTTCACATGTGGACATTGCATGCTGATGGCGGCAGACGATGGGGAGCCCTCACTACAAATGTATCGGAGTCATTCAATGGCTTGTTGAAGTCTGCCCGTGGTCTACCTGTCACTGCCATGGTCCGTATGACATTCAAACAGAGTGCGGAGAGGTTTGTTGAAAGACATGCAGCTGCATCAACATTGATGGACAAGGAACCTTTTAAGATGGTATGTAACAAGGACTATTTGCGCAAGCTGCAAGTACAAAAGAGAACGCGTATACAGAACCAAATGGATGTTGGTGACACCTTTTATGCGCGTAAATTTGGCATATGCTCGCAAACAGGACACGACCGTCGTAAATTTCCTTTAGATGGTGTGCGTGGCGGTGGTAATCCGGCTCCTGGTGCAAGTTCGTCGAATGTACCCAACTATCAAGGATACCCCTAGTCTTTTGTTTTGGTATTGTTTTTTGTAATACATGTTTGTATTTGTGTATGTTGCAATATATATCAAATAAACTTAGTACACATACATGTCATACATGCCACTTCAATACATGCCATACATGCCACTTCAATTAAAATAAAACATTACTACAACACAAACATAACAGGCCAACATAGTAAAAATACATGAAATATGAAAAATACACTAAACACATACATGCCAATGTTTAGTGCCGGTTGCCATTTATTCTCCGCTCCAACCACTTAAATCGTTCTTCTATTTGTTTTTTTCTTCTTCTACCTCTTTCAGTTTCTCCTTCACCTCCGCAAGTTCCCGTTTATATTTTTTTTACATTCCTTTTGTGCTTCACAATTCCATTATGCTTTCTNCACAATTCCATTGTGCTTTCCATTTTTCTTCTCCCACGTCCTTCAGTTTCGCCCTCATTTCTACAATAATTCTATCGCTTTCTCTTTGTGTTTCCCGTTGGCATAAACACATATTATGAAGAAACTGCAGTTGTTCTCTGTAGCATTCCTGATAACATGGTTCATCAACCCATTCCTCAAAATCACAAATAGGTTCGTCGGGAACCTTGTATAATTGGTTCATACAACACCAGTAGTGGCGTCCAACTTCACCACCGTCCCAACAATTTTGTATCGAGCATTCTTTTCCACAGTTGCATTTTGCTGGACGAAGAGGTTGAGCCATTTAATGAAATATTTGCTTTTAGTAAAAAACCTTACTTTTAATGAAATATTTGCTTTTACTAATTTTTGAGCACACAAAATAACTACAATGAGTCCGTTATTTATAGGCGGAATTTAATATATAAAGCGTGGTATAGTACTGCGTTTTATAGAGTTCTCTTGTTGTTCTGAAAAAGATGAAAACCATGTGAAAAAGCTGCTTTATTGCAGAAAAATTTAATATATAAAGCGTGGTATAGTACTGCATTTTATGGAGTTGTCTTGTCGTTCTGAAAAAGATGAAAACCATGTGAAAAAGTTGTTTTATTGCAGAAAAATTTAATATATAAAGCGTGGTATAATACTGCGTTTTATGGAGTTGTCTTGTCGTTCTGAAAAAAATGAAAACTATGTGAAAAAGCTGGTTTATTGTAGAAAAAATTAATATAACGCGTGGTATAGTACTGCGTTTTATGGTTTTAGTTATCCTTTGTGCAGTGATGGTTTTAGTTCTACTGTTTGTTTTTATGTTACGTTTGCAATGTTTGTGTTTCTTGTGTACTGTTTAAGTAAAATTGTTCTTCAAACGCAATTAAAATAAAAATATTGTTAAAA